GAGAAAAAGAGTAAAATCAGAAAAGAAGACCAAATGGTGGAAGCTGCAGAATTAATTTTGTGAGAAATTCAGAGAGGAGCAGTTAAGGGCTCTGGGGGGTAAGAAAGAGCTTCCAAATGACTGGGCTACTACAGCAACAGTAATTAGAGAGACAGGTAGGAAGGTACTTTTTTTCATCTGGACAGAGAATGGATGAAAAGGAAACTTGGTGGTGGAATAGTGAAGTGCATAAAGCTATTCAAAGAAAGAAAGAAAAAAGAGAGTCAACCAGTTTGATGATGATAAGATAGTTTCTGGAGTCCACCCTCTCCCCCGTCGACTCGTCTAAGGCAGCCATGGCCAAAGTGGTTCAGAACATCAAAGTTCATGCTCAATAATCTAGGTAAAATATCCAACAAACTTAAGTCAGGTCCTCTGGATGGTTTGCTATTTGTTAAAACAAAAAATATCACCATGGTTGACCCGCTTTGTGAAGGTTCTCTTTATAAGACTGAGTTTTTTGTGACTCCTCGGACTGATGAAGTCTTTTGGATGAACGACAAAATGTTTCATCAAAAAAGAAAATGTCCAGAGGACTTAACTTAGTTGGATTTTTTTACTCGGATTCTTGAGCATTAAACATTTTGAAAAAAATCTCATAGCCAAATCAGAGCATCACCACTGATCTCCATTTTTATTCCCTGTCTCTGAGTGAAGAGGGGGAATTGGAAATATCCCCCCAGCCTGTACGTCTGTGCACATTGTGAGCAAGATGACCTACAAAAATTGGCAAAGTGCTGATTTCCATTTTGGTGTGTGGCTGCATTTCAGCATAAGAAAAGGTCACTGTCAAAATTGTGTTGCCAAATCAAAACCCAAGATGGCTACCATCATAAAAATATGTAAACTGGCCACCCCAATCAAACAAACAAAAAACTTAATAATAAGAAACAATAACATAACACACACACAAATGCATAAACTCAGTGCAAATGAAGCCCTAATCTAATACGACAGCAACATGCTGTCTTTGTCAAATTCTCCAAAAACTGCCACAGTCCTCACATGGAGACCACCTTCACTCTGGTATTATGCTTCCTGAGTAATTCCCATTTTGTCCAATCTTCATGTGGTGTTTACCCCCTAACCCAACACTAGCACTAATCTTGAAATTGGGTAATAAAAAGTGTACACACCACTACATCTAGTGACGATGCATGTGTATCAAGTTTCAGTAAATTAGCTTGAGCAAATCTCATGTTACTGGTGGAAAAGGAGAAAGCTTACAGATGGACACAGAATAAATCATAATACATCCGCCTTTGATAGGTGAATAAAAAAATAGTCTTAAGCCTAGTCAATAAAGTAGAATTTCTGTTTCACAAACAGAACATGGAAGTTGGTTCCACAAGATAGGAGCCTGATAAAATGTTCCTCACATTCTACTTTTAGAAACAGTGAAAGCTGTTTATTCAGAAAAATGCAACTTGTCACAATTCTGCAATATTGAAGCACAAGGGTGTTAAAACTGTTCATAATCAAGAATGATTGTTTGATCGAATTCATGATTCTCTTTTAAATGAATGCAAGCAAATGCAGCGCAAACTGAAAGTTAAAATGGAATAAGAAGACTACCTTAGTTAGTTTTAAGGATTCTTCAAGTCTATGCATAATCACTGATGAAACCCTTGTAGTCAAGATCAAGGCAAAAACACAAAAGTCATGTTCAGCTTTTTAGTTTTGGTGAAACTTTAGCAGACAGATAAAACAAATGAATGAATAAATCAAACAAACCTCTTGTTACAGCTTCTAAATGTAACAAAACAGTGAGCTATACAATTTAAATGCTGATCTGTAAGCCTTTCTGCAGGACATCCTGTCTCTGACGTCTACAGTCAGAAACTTCCTGCTTCAGGAAATTCAGGAAATTGGCGTAGGCATAATATAACTAAAATGAAAAAGACAAAAGAAAAATGTGTTCTGTTTGGATTCAGCAGAACAAAGTAATAAGAGGTGAACAGGTTTGGTTCAATCACTAATCAGGTGTCCATGGACCACGAACACCTTTGTCATGTGTGATAATGAATCTGAAAAAAAGGGAGCACACTCTTTTTTGATAACACTTTTAAATCCCTGTCCTTTTGAGAGATTATTGGACTTTTTAAGCTTGTTCAGCAGAACTTCCCAAAATTTCTTGGAATTTTTACCAACCTGTATGGGCCATATCAAACTTATTTAATAGACTTTCATTCTAAAAACATAAATTCAGAGATTCTTTATTGTCATTCGCATCTCATGTGGTACATGTGGTGGACCGAAATGATATACACAGGGTCCCAGTTACATCCAACAATAAAATGGAAAAAAAAAAAAAACAGTAATAAGATCTAAGATGTGAAAAACATCAGTTAAAAATATGCTAAGCACTACCGTAATGACATAAAAACAATATGCCGAACAGCAGCACGAACATGAATCTGTGTGAGCAGATGAGCACGAATGAACAGCAGCGTGAAACAGATCAGCAGCAACATGTTGTGATTTTTCACAGTGATTATCTGGTTAGAGATTCATGAGTCTGACAGCTTCAGGGTAGAAGCTGTTCCTCAGTCTAGTGGTTCTACACTTTATGCTACTTAGGGTGCATTCACACCAGCCCTGTTTAGTCCACTTTAATCGAACTCTAGCTCGGTTTCCTAGAAAGTCCGGTTCGTTTAGGGAGGTGTGAACGCACCATCGAACTCTGTCACAGAACAAAAAGGCGAACTCTGGCCCGGGCTAAAACCTAGGTCGCGGTCCGGTAGAAGCGAACTCCAGCGCGGTTCGAATACAGTGTGAATGTTAACAGACTGTGGGCCCCGCTCCGCAGGACAAACAAACACGTATTTCTCTGACCTCATACGGAGCCGTCAGCTGCCTTGTGTGAAAAACAATATTCTCCATGGTCTTCTGTCTCATATTCTGCTCATGCTAAGTCCATTTTTGAAAAATGACTAAATATAACTCCTAAAACTGCTAAAACTTGATGCCACTTTGTTTTTATTTTTATTTACAGAAGAAGAAGAAGATGTGTCTTCAGAGGTTTTTGTGTTGTTTCTTTCAGTAGTTCTTGGTGCAGCGCCCCCACAGGCGAGCGGGGGAATAGGTTGGTTCAACAGGTTGACTCGACTGCACAGTGCAGTGTGAATGCAAACGCACCAGCTCAAATGTAAACAAAAGGTCATGAATATTGGTCCCGAACCGAACTGAGTCTACGGATTATCTGGTGTGAAAACAACCTTAATCTCCTTCCCGAGGGGAGCGGGGCAAAACGTGTGTGTGCTGGGTGAGTGGGGTCTTTCATGATGCAGGTGGTCCTGGTCAAGCTACAGTTTTAATGGCAACCTTTTCATTTGCTTTTGTATAGATATAATTATAGATATAGAAACAGATATTTTCACCATACCATTAAAGAAAAAAAACCCAGCTTCAACAGCATTCTGATACCTGCATAGTCTCTCTTAACATAATGAGACACTTGCAATTTATCCCTTTTTCCCTTTGGTTTGAGTCACACATAATTAGAAGGAGCAACAACATCAAGAACACTTTGACATTAGATAGAAATTAGAAGTGATATCCTCTGTAGTAAAACTGGGGGGACACTCTGAACCTTTGTAAAAACAATAGAAACCTGTTAAGCAGCCGATTAGAAAAGAATGAGAATGGCATTTTGGAGCAAAAGGGTTGAAATCATGACAGAGCAAAGATGTTTCAAACACAACGAGGAAGTGATCAGAAAATACACCACATATTTTAATGTTTGAAACTAGTACACTAAAACAAAATAAAAGTTCAAAGTGTGGTCATCTTCATGCGTTGGGCTCAACACAAACTGAACAAGTTTAAGTACAAGTACACTTAGGGAGCATGACACTGTGTAATTTTTTACAATCACCCCCTCAGTCAAAATAATCTTCACTTTTGCAGAGAAATAACTCGTTCAAGTAATGCATTTCTGAACTGTTGTGGAAAAAGGGTCACGTATACACCAAAAAGTGCATTTATTACATCATGTCCATTTCATTCGAACTTTTATTTATACAGGTTAATCCCACTGAGTCTCGGGGGCTCATTTACAAGAGAGACCTGGAATGACATTTGACTCTGTGCACATAAGATACAATTCTGTTCATTGTCCTAATTTGGATCTACAGTTTACTGTTTTAAAGCAAATAAACTTTTATAGGAAGATAAGAATTCATATTATGATGGTAAAAATTAAGGACGAATAAAAAAAATTAACTAATAAAGCCACAGCTGCAAAGAAATGACAGAAATCCATTTTTGATATGAAACAGGATCTCTTTAACCATGTGGTTGTCAAAAGCAGACTTTTTGATTTTATGAGTATATATATGCTGAGGTCAGGGTTTCTGTGATGAATAGGCGGTGTCGTGTTTCTCTGAAAGCACCCCAGAGTTGTTCAGACTTTCCTGAGGGCAGGAGGACTTCTCTTTGTGTCAAGTCTAAATTAATTTGCATGTGACCCTCCTCTTCATTGTGGATTGGCTGGAGCTCTGTTCGCATGTGGAAACACGTTACTAAACGTTCTCATTTGGAGGACAACTTCCCTGAGTTGAGAATGAACGGAGGCTGGACAACAGCAGCTGTTTGAGTGAGTAACATGAGCCGGCAGACATAGGATAAAAAATTATGGAGAAAAAATATAGTTTAATTTTAGATTTCTGGTAGTTTCCTGGGGCAGGTGAAGTTTTTTTTGTTTTAATTTCTAGGATTTTCTTGCACAAAATTGACAGGTTTTTTTTAGTTATCTGGTTATAGTTATTTACCTTGTGGAAAAAAATGTTTTAAAGAAATATATCTAAGAGGTTTTTTTTTCTATAACTTCTGTTTCTAAATAGATAAGTTTATGATTTTTTTAAGGGTTAGAGCTGAAAAAAAAGGTTTATTTACTGTAAGTCTTTATACAAAAACATGTCAGTTAACCAATAGACATGAGATCAGTGTTACTCTACATCATGATGCTGCTGGCCGTGCTTCTAGTTCTGAGTCTTGGTACTGAAACATCCTCCGAGTCATCTTTGATAACTATCCAGTACCACGTTTGGGAGGAGCAGTCTGCAGGAACCCAGGTCGGCCGTCTGGTAGATGACCTCTGGCAGCGGGATGAAGCGGGTCCTCTGGAAGATTTCCAGGTAGTGGAGCAGGGAAAAGCCCTTCCTTTTTCTGTCACTCCTCGGGATGGAGTTGTCTCCACCCAGGTTAGGCTGGACAGAGAGGAGCTGTGTCGAGGGTCTGACCTGTGCAAAGTAGTCTTCAGTGTCTTGTACAGAAAAAGTGGAATTATAAACTGCCTACGGGTTTGTGTGGAGGTGATGGACTTGAATGACCACAGTCCCAGCTTCCCCAGTGCTCTACAGGAAGTGGAAATATCAGAGACTGCCAGCCTTCAGATGCGAATCCCTTTAGAACGAGCAGTTGATCCTGATGCAGGGCCCAACGGCCTGCAGAACTATTCCCTATCTGTCAACCCACACTTTGCTCTAAATGTAATAACTGCACCAGGAGGTACAAAACAGGCAGAGCTGGTGGTCATTCAACAACTGGATAGAGAAACTCAAGACTCCTTTGACCTCATCTTGGTGGCATCTGATAAAGGCAATCCACCAAAGTCTGGGAGCACATTGCTCCATGTAAGGATTCAAGACTCAAATGATAACAGCCCAACTTTTGAAAACAGTAGTCCAACTGTGATACTACCTGAAGATACAGTCATTGGGACAACCATCATCAAGTTAACAGCCACTGACCCAGACCAAGGTACTAACGGGGAGGTCGAGTACTCATTCAGTAAGCTCACTCATCCTGATGTTCAAAAACTGTTTCATGTGGACTCACAAACTGGAGATGTGATCACAAAGGCACCTCTGGATTATGAAACTGAGTCATTGCATGAGCTGATCATACAGGCCACTGATCGTGGCCCAAATGGGATTCCTGCTCACTGTATGCTGCATGTCCAGCTTATTGATGTGAATGACAATGCACCGAGGATTCGTACAACTTGGACTTCACCTATTTCAGATGTAGCCACTGTGTCTGAAGGAGCACCAAAAGACACATTTCTCATGTTAGTGACGGTTTACGATGCAGATTCAGGAGAAAATGGAGAAGTGAGTGTTGTCGTTAAAGAAGGATCTGGTCCTTTTAAACTTAAACATATTGATGGTCACAATTTTAAGATAGTTACTAGTGGAATTCTGGATCGAGAGGAGGTTATGAACTATAACATCACACTTCTTGCTCAGGATCATGGGACCCCCACGTTGTTTTCTGTTGAATATCTGCCTGTTTCTGTTCTGGATGAAAATGACAACACCCCCGTGTTTTCTGCTTTTGCTTATAGAGTATGCTTTAAAGAGAACAATATAGCAGACTATAAATTTCTTCAGGTTGAAGCCCATGATGATGATCTGGCACTCAATGGAAAAGTATCATACAGCATAAGGGATGATGCTGATCTAAATACTAAAACAAAATCTTTCTACATTCACCCAACAACTGGAATCATAGGTGTCCATCATTCTTTAGACTTTGAGGAATCAAACACATACTCTTTCATTGTTGAGGCTGTGGACTACGGACATCCACCACTGACAGGCACGACCACTGTGCAGATTGAACTTGAGGATGTAAATGACAATGTCCCAGTCATCAAAGAGCCAAAACCAGGAAAGGGTGTGGTTTCTGTAAGCATACCAGTTAATGTATACGACGGAAAGATTGTGACCGAGCTTGGAAATGACATAGAAGAAACGCCCATCACTTTGCCAATGAACCTTTTAGATAAGGAAGAACTCACTGGATATCTTGCATCCACAATAAAGGCTGAAGATCTAGACTCAGGACTCAATGGACAACTGAAGTATTTGATCACTAATGGAAACCCTAAGGACCTTTTCTGGATGGAACAAGCTACAGGCCAGCTATTTGTCAACACCAGTAATGCCACTGAGCTCATTGGACGAACATTTATGATGGAACTTATTGTATCTGATATGGGCACTCCAAGTTTGGACACTAAAGCAACCCTGGAGGTGACTTTTATCAACCTCAAAGATCACCTCAAGAACTCATCACCAGGTCATCAAGGGCATTTCAGCTTCACCATGATGATTGCAATTTGCCTTGGTGCTACATCTCTGCTTCTTTTGCTAACCATTGCTTTGGTGACAACGTTTTGCAGACCCGAGAAAAGGAGTAATCGGGCTTACAACTGCAGACAAGCTGAATCAAGCTACACACGCCATCCTCGACGGCCACAGAACAACATTAAGAAATCAGACATCCAGCTAATTCCTGTTATGCGCTGGCAGAAGGAGGAGCCACCAGAAGATGACAGTGATAGTGAGGTCCAGCCACTGACTCCACCTCCACTGTCAGAAGATCGAAAAACTGAGAGGAATTACAATTGTGTACCATTGAGCTGCAATTTGCTTGGCTTCCCAAAAACAGAGGCCCCTGAACATGTCACCCATCATTGCAAAACACTCAGGAAACCTGCAGACATTGAACTTGATGGCACTTTGACTTTCCCACCAGCCACATCATCTTCCACCCTTAACAAAACCAGAAATCCTTCATCCTCCTCATCTTCAGTCTCACATTTCAGCACCTTGAGGTATAACAAGCCACACCCCAAAGAAGTGACAAACCCAACACGCTCAGCATCTCAAACTACTTTAAGGAGACCAAAGATGTCAGATGGTCAAGAAGCACATGATGCAGAACACCAGCAAATGCTTTGCAACCTGGTTCGTCTCTCCATGGCTGCATTTGGAGACTCCATCGAGCTCTCCTCCGCTTCTCCAGAGGTGCAGGTGAGTAGTACTGTCTCATTATTCCATCATGACTCAGTCTTATGTGTTTCAGAATTATTATATTTTTAAAAATCAAAGTAGCAACAAAGACCCATGTAACGTTTTAATAAATGTGCAAAAATTAATAAATAAATTATACTAAATTAATTATTAAAAGGAATTAAGAACCTTTTGAACAAAAACAATGTGGCACTGATTTTGGTAACTATCCTATAAATTAGTTCCAACCTATTGTCCAGTAAGACTCAGGGCAGCTGAGTTGGTACCAGAAAGTCACAGGTTCAAGTCCCCACCATGCCCATATGTCATGGTGTCCTTGAGCAAGACACCATATCCCTAATTGCTCCCTGGGCGCTTATATAGCCACCCATTGCTCCAACTGGGTGTTTCTGAAGTTCTTTAAGAAATAACTAAAATATTTTATGAAACAAAACAAAAACACTGACATGACAAAGAAAAATACTTATCGGTACACAGAAAATACTAGAACAATCTCAAGGAGGAGCGCAAAGAGCAGGAGTAACACAAAGAGGACCAAAACGGAGTCATTAAAGCTGATATGAGTCCTGGACTGAACACAGAGTATATGGGCGGCGGGGGTTGGTGGGGGTTAAAGTGGGTGTGGCAGGACTGAGGAGCATGCACTACTGAGGCAGAATCAACTGAGGATGAGCAAATACTGGCAAAGAGGAAACACAAGGGGCTGATATATATATATATATATATATATATATATATATATATATATATATATATATATTTAA